TTTGCAGTTCTAGATATAAGATTATCCAGGCATGGCTCATTTGAAAATGATGTTACACAGGAGATCTTTCCTAGACCAGAGTAAAAAAAAATAGTCCAATTGTCCTCATATAAATCCTTTTCCTTTCACTTATTATAAGAAACTGGGTTTTGTCTGGTTTAGCCTTCCCAAAAGCACTATAAGTTTGTTGGAATCTCTTTGGGATTTATCAATGAACTACTGCCTGGGAAATTAAAGGTCCTGAAGTCAAAGTTCAGGATACTTATCTGATCATTTCAGTGTTCATTCTCAAATCACTTAGTTGCTTGGTTATGGTTTCCTTGGACTCCCATTCCTTCTGTTGGGTTCCTTATCTGATCATTTCAATTGTAAGAGCCTTCTCTGGCCAATAATGGTTCTAGCTCTTCCTAGACAAACCCATTTTGTCTCTAACCCTAGGTATCTCCTTGTCTCCAGTAACATTAACTCTATTTTGTTTCCCTGTGTAATAATGCTTTGCTAATTATAATGATGTCAGATTAAAATATAGATGGATTATATGCTTTTCCAGGTAAACATGTCCTCAACATACATTATATATATATGTATATATATATATATGTATATATATATATATATATATATATATATATATATATATATATATAAAATCAACATTGCCTGCACAAAACTCCTTGGGGCTCTTTCTTTCTGGTGTTAGACTTTTGTAAATAAATCACTTTCCCTGTAAATGACAAGGGTCATCTCTAAATTAATGTTGAAAATAATCAAAGTGACCATACTGATAGGTGTTGTTTTTGTGAGTGATTAAGTTGGGATATGTAGTTTTATAAAGAGCTAAAGGATAAAGGAAAATTTCTGACTTCTGCCATATGAAAGGGCAGAAGTAGCCTTTGGAAGAAGCAGCCAGGAATCCTACGGCTTCAGAACGGAAAAGCCTAACTCTTCCCAAAGGGTTCTTTTCCTTTCTATTTAACAAAACATTGGCTCATTTGATGCAGACTTTATTATGGATCTTTGTTTCTCTAATATATCAAGGTTCTCATTCACTGTGTGTGGTAAAAGACAAGCAACGTTCTTTGCATCTGAGTCATCACTGACACAAACTTTTTGTCATTTAGAAAGGCCAAAGCTGTCAGGAGCCAGGATGATGATGGCACCATCATTCCTGCTGCTTGTCTTGCAAGTGTCCTGCCCATCCCCCATACTTAGTGAGTTCCGTCTTCGGTCATCTTGGTGCGTAGTCAAGAGGTTATGCTAGTCCTCTTGGATCACTTAGAGACAAGAAACCAACGTGAATTAGGCCACGCTATCTGAGATGCCAGACCTCTGTCTTAGCTGTGTAGTTTTCTTGTTTCACAGCCACAGCCTGAGGAACCCAACCAGGCTGCCATCCTGAGCTCTGCCACTGTCACCTCTTCAGCTGCCACAGCCACCATCGCTGTTGTCAGTGTTGCAACACCACTGAACCATGTGCTGTGTCAACTTCAGTATAATTACCTCACCAGAAAGACTTCAGGGGCTCCACCTTAGAAGAATATCTTTTCCAGCCATGACAGCTCGGCCAGGTGGCTCTCCTGGAGAATGGCACCATTATACAGGAAATCTGTGATTAGCAGGCAGGGAACTATGCATTCATGCACAGACCCACATATGAGAAATCTGTCCCTGTATTCTCTCTCCCTTTCACTGTACCACGAGTCCAACAATGCCATTTGTATGGTTTTGTTTTGCCTTTTGAGTTTTTGGTCTCAAATTGTGCTAGCTGAGCTTGTTGAACTAGGAACTAGTACCAGTATGGACTACTAGCCGTGAGAACAGCTAGCAACCCAAGAGATACTCCGAGCTTTAGCTGAGAGCTGTGGAGAGTAGCTGAGAGTGGCAAGAGAGCTACAGGAGAGCTGCCTATATCTGCTGGGAGAGCTACTGAAGAGCTACTGCGAGCTTCAAGCTACTAAAAGCAGCTAGGACAATGGCCAAGAACAGAGAGAGAGCTATTAACACTAGCTGCTGAGGTCCGGGAGAGAAGAGAAGGGAAGGAAAACGAGTGAGGGGAAGGGAGGAGAGGAGAAGAGAGGAGAGTAAGGAACTAGTCTCATTGGCACTTAGAGTTCAGAACTATAACATTTACTAAAGGCCTTAAGAGCTTAGTCATTTTGTAATTTGAGCAAAAGTACCTATGACTAATAGGTAAAAAATATTACAAATACAGAAAAGCTGGGTCTGATTATATTTTTATCTTGGACTTCAAGCCTCCAGAGCTTGAAAAAGAAATTTCTTTTTATTAAGTATTTTATTGGCATTTATTATTAAACAAAGGTATTTCATTGTGACTTTTTTTCATTGTGACCTTATGGTTATAATGTATCTTGATTTGAATCACTCTGGCCTAGCTCCTTTTCTGCTTCCTTTCTATTTATTATAAAATACCCTGTCTCAAGTCTTGTTACAACAGGATAGAAGTCTGTCCTGTTGTCACTTACAGTGACATCTATCCTTCACTTAGAAGAACAAGACATCTATCCTTCACTTAGGGTAGGGTCTTATAAGATTGACTGCCTGAGAAATTCATTAGGCCCATTAGTAAAAGAGAGATAAAGGTGGTAATACCATAGGTAGCATAAAGATGCTGTATAAATTAAACATAACATAGTTTGTAGCCCTAAAGCTCCTTGCCATGATTTGTTTAGTATGGAGCCCTTCCTTAGATATTGGAATGATACCAAAATAAAACAAATAGATGATTTACCTTTTTTCATAAATTTTCTGGAGTGGGAATATTTTCAGGATTATACACAAATGATGAGCCTATCTTCAATTCCACTGCTATCAACAGAAATACCAAAATATGGGGGAACTTAAGCTATAAAAATTACATAAAATAAAATTTCATGATTAAAGTTAAAAAAACAACATAAAGCTGATCATTGGTGATTCATGATTATAATACTAGCTCTTTAGTAGACTAAGATGCAAGGAAATAGTTCAAAGCTATACTAAGCAGGAAATTCTTTGAGAGCCTTATCTCCAATCAGCCTTCAAAAAACTTGAAATGGAGCTGTGACTAAGTGGTAGAGCAGTATCCTTGAGCATAAGTGCTCATGGACAATTCTTAGGCCCCAGAATTGGCAAAGAAAGAAAAGAAAAGAAGTAAAAGAAAAGAAAAGAAAAAAAGAGTAAGAGGGGAAGGGAGGTAGGGATGGAAGGAAAGAAAGAGAAAGAGGAAAAGAAAGAAAGAAAGAAAGAAAGAAAGAAAGAGGAAAAGAAAGAAAGAAAGAAAGAAAGAAAGAAAGAAAGAAAGAAAGAAAGAAAGAAAGAAAGAAAGAAAGAAAGAAAGAAAGAAAGAAAGAGGGAGGGAGGGAGGAGGGAAGGAAGGAAGGAAGGAAGGAAGGAAGGAAGGAAGGAAGGAAGGAAGGAAACAGAAAAAAGGAATAATGAGAGTGAAAGAGATTGAGAGAAAGAGAAAAAGAATGAGAGAAAGAGAAAAGAAAAAAGGAGAAAGGAATAAAGGAAAAAAGAAAGGAAGGAAAGGAAGACCAAATCTGGAAATAAATCAAACAAAAATTCTTTTAAAATTATAATTTAAATTTCAAATGGCATTAATATTTCATCGTCAAAACAAGAAAACTTAGCTATGTGGGATGACAAAACCCCTACTGTGGAGGGCTGATCCCTTCCACTGCTCCTGGTCCCTTGCTTTAAGTTTGCAGGCATTTTATTCTCTTCAGTGCCTGGCACTCTTGAGCGTGTCATCTTTGTTGTAAAGCACAAAGATGAAACATTCTGCACTGCTGCCGGGTTTTGTTTTATTTTCTTTTTCTTCTTCATTTTTTTCTTTTCTATTTTGGGATCAAATGATGATGTGGAGCAGTTCCCTCCAAAGTTAATGCATTTTCACAGCACATTGGGTTGCTACTTGTAGCACCCCAGGGTTTCAAAGTCTTCTACTTTTAAATTCGGTGTTTCAATGATACACTTTTGCAGTTCTGTATCACAATTCTTTAATTCAGAAACAGACATTACTGGTAAATATGATTAGCAAGTGTTGGGGGTTGTTCAATATGGAAATTATCTTAATTTCCAAAGAAACCTGTAGATGATATATGTCTGTCAAATGTTATTTGAAGTGTCATTTTTGAACATATTTTGCACGAAGATTCTAGTTGTGAAAACAAGTATTTTTATTATAATTTAATACATATGTTAGTATTTCAGTGTCAACCACCAGTGACTATAATGCATATTTTGCTTTACATAGCTTCATAGAATAGTTTAATCTGTCTTGTCTTTATTCACAGAGCTATTTGTGTTTCAATGAAGTCTAGTAAACTTAAAGCTTTTTTTTTCATGCTTAGGGGCTGAATTGTAGGAGTAACTGCTGGTAACATGCTCTGATAGTATGGAATCCTGTTAGAATCTGGCCCTGTAACCTAAGGTGGTGAGTCCTATGTTCAGCTTCATAACCACTTTATCTACTGCTTCTGATAGCTTCAATAATCTATCAGTATTTTTATTGTTCTTCTACAAACACAAAACTAAAGATATCTGGACACTGGTAGCTCATAACTGTTATCCTAGCTACTCAGGGGAATGAGACCTGAGGATTGAGGTTCCAGGCCAGCCTGGGCAGGAAAGTCCATGAGACTCTTATTTCCAATAACCACCAGAAAACCGGAAATGGAATTGTGGTCAAGTCTTAGAGCATTCGCAGACAAAAAAAAAAAACAAACAAAAAAAAAAAAAACAAAAACTTACTAACGATAGAAAATATAAGAAGAATATCAGTTTTTGCCATGGCTCTCAAGTAATCTATAAGTATCTCCCTTCCCTTCATCACCTATACAAATAAGAATTTCAAGAATGGTATACACCAATTACACATACATAAAATCTTCTAAGTATTTCATAAATCTCTTTTTTTGTGCTGAATCATTTTAAATACTTTATTTGAGGCATTTTATTATAAAAAGTTGGTACTCATAAATTTATATGAACTTTTTTGATTTTGGCTGCTATGTAAGGCGATCCTCCTTTGTCTGGGTGACTTAAGAGCATAATTCGTCCATGAGCCTCTCTTATCTTACCTCTATTGGCATTAGGGCTTACACCTAGTATTAATGCTGCTTCCCGTTTTGTCATTTTGGGTTCAAATCCACCTCTGTAATAGCCACTGCTGAAGGCAGATTTTGGTAGGCTTTGAAAAACTCGTTTTACTAGAAGCTCCATATGCTTCATGGCTTGTAAAACCTAATGGCCCGCAAATCCTGCAGTAGCAATGGTCAGCCCAACTGCTACCACTGTACTGTCCATGGCTCAGCGCGGCTCTCTTGCCTCTACTGGGAGCCTCCGAGAGGCCTCGGCCTTCACCCCAGGCACAGCCGGGCGGCCTGTAGGTCTCCGTCGTCCCAGGAACCCGGCCAAATCTCCTCTTAAAATAACAATTTATATATGTTACAGGATATATGTATATGTATATACATATATCTATACATGCTGGGAAGGTGGCTCAGTGGTAGAGCGCTTGCCTTGCATGCTCAAGGCCCTGGGTTCGATTCCTCAGCATCACATATGCAAAAAGAAAAAAGCTGGAAGTGGCACTGTGGCTCAAGTGGTAGAGCATTAGCCTTGAGCTGAAGAGCTGAGGGACAATGCCCAGGCCTAGAGTTCAGGCCCCACGAACCAACCCCCCCCAAAAAAACATATATCTATACATATGTATATATACATGTATATATATAGATATATGTATATATAAATATATACATATATCTATATATATACATATACATACATACATACACAGTTGCAAAAGACTTAAAAACAAGGCAAACTCAGTCTTGGTTTTCTTTATTCTTTACAATTTTAAGATTTAAATGAGAGTCTGGGAAGATGGCGGTAGAGTGCTAGCTTCGCATGCATGAGGTCCTGGGTTCAACTCCTCAGCACCACATAAGCAGAGAAATCTGGAAGTGGTGCATTGGCTTGTGGTAGAGTGCCAGCCTTGAGTTAAAGAGTTGAGGGACAGTCCCCAGGCCCAGAGTTCAGGCCCCACAACTAAAAGGAAAAAAAATATTAATTGATCAAAGGAATTCACATTTAGAGCTGCATTATGAATATAACAAAATAAACTTTTGGAGTGACTTTTTATATCTGTCTCACATTCAATATGTGCCCAGCACTATGTCAGATTCCATACAAGTAATCAGACAATATTTTTAAGTATCACTAGGTAAAGATTTGATAAGAACCATGTACATGATGATTTGGGGCAGATAAGTGATGTCTTTTTTTTTAATAAGTTTTTTTATTGTGAAAATAGTGTACAAAGGGGTTACAGTTACATGAGCAAGGCAGTGAGTACATTTCTTATCCAGCATTGTTGCCTCCTCCTTTATTTTTCCCCTACCATCCTGTCCCTCCCACCTCCTCAACTATACCACCACCCCAACTAAATTTAGATAAGTGATTTCTGAAAAAAAAAAATCTATGTTCTACTGTATAAATCATTAACTATCTTACCCTATGTGGTAACAAGAACTTTGGAGACAGTATTAAAGACCTAGCATCTACCACTGGCTTATCCATGTGGGATCAGGATCAGGATCTGGATCAAGGATCAAGATCTTCTGGATCAAGATCCAGAAGAATTAGTATGACAAGAAAGCAGAATTTAGAATGATTCAGCCATGTGCCAGGACCATGAAACCTTCTAAGAGGCCTGAAGGCAAGAAATATCTCTCCTTGAACATCAATAAGGAATGCAGCTGTCCCAACAACTAAATGGAAAACTCATAAAGCCAATTTTCATACTGTTTAACTTCAAATTAGAAGATACCACTTGTGGTATTATTGTGTACCACTAACTTTGTGGTAATTTATTATAGCAACTAAAGGACATTGATATAATCAGTGAGTCACTGAGGAAAAAAATTTAGGCTAAAAGAATTTCATTCATACTTTCAGAAGGATATAAATTCATCATCTTCCTTTTGTCCTATAAATCATATTTTAATGAAGTGTAAAATGTCAAAGTCTAGAAGAGTCAAGAATATGGTATCCATAGCAAGGGTTAATCATTGATCTGCAGATCACATAATATTTCTAACAGGTTGAAATATTAAGAAGCACATATCAAGAAATAAACAGAATGGAAAAGGTTTCAACCAATACAAACTCAGGGAAAAAGGTAGGAAGATGTTTTTCAAAACCTCAAAATTGTAATTAGGTAAATTTTGAGAGTAAGAGTAAATAAAAGGATAAAAAGAAGTTAATTGAAAGGTTTCCTGTTTTAAAACAAAATCCACAAAATGATTTTGCTTAACATCATCTTATCTGGTCATATGTACATAGCTTTTGACCTTTTCTGCTTGTCTCAGACATATACTAGTTATTGAAAATAAGGGAAACCATAGCCTGGCTTACTCCACTTTATATAATTTTTTCCAAGTTAAGCGGAATCAACGCCAAGATAGGGACACAAGAGATTTTTTTTTCTTTTTTCTATTGTTTCTAACGTATTTATAATGTACCGTGTGATTTGTTTTGTTGCTTTATATGTTCCTCCCCCACAGTATAATCCCTGTTTGTACTGTATTTGGTGCTGGTGCCCTGCATCTTGTATATACATTTCTCTAATTTGGAGAGGGGAAGTGAAAAAACAAAATGTTTAAATAGGGATACAGGTTGACCCATTGTAACAGTGAAATGTACAAAACACTATGTTGAAAAACGAACTTTGCCATTTAGGCTGGGGGTGGGGGGGGAGTGTAGTTGTGGAGGTGAGAGGGAAGGGATGGTAGGGGAAAAACAAAGGAAGAGGCAACAATGCCTCTTGATAGGAAATGTACTCATTACCTTGCTCATGTAACTGTAACCCCTCTGTACAGTATTTTACAATAAAAAACTTTTAAAAAAACACAAAATGATAGGAAATGTACTCATTACCTTGCTCATGTAACTGTAACCCCTCTGTACAGTATTTTACAATAAAAAACTTTTAAAAAAACACAAAATGAACAAACAAAGCAAAATGAAGTAAAAATTATTTGGGCAACTGTCCCACTATATACCCCATTCCTAAACCCAATATATGTGGTGGTTGTAACTGATGGTTCTCAAAAGACAGAAATTACAGCTCTGTTTCCAGAAACATAATTCTTAAGGGAAATAAAGTTTTGCTTTCAGAGTTACTTCATCTCATTTTAGATGAAGCAGAAGAGGGCTGAAGGCAGCAGCTTGCCTCTGATCTCTGCATATACTCACCAAATCCTCTCTGCAAATCTCAAAGATTTCCCATGCAATTTCAGTTACCATTTGGCCTTATCTCAAAATACAAAAGCATTTAAACAAGATTACCTTCATTACATAGGGTAAACACTCCCATAACTTCACCAATATTCATGTTCACACTATTAAAATGTTTCACCAATATTCATGTTCACACTGTTAAAATGTTTCTGACAAATTAAAAATCAGGCAGATATACACATTAAGAAATCAATTCAAGTAGAAGTTGCAATCTAAAGTAGCATTTTATTCTGAAATATTAACAAAACAACCAAGGTAGCTAGATCTTTAAAGAGAATGGCTATGTATAAAAAAGAAAAAACTGAAGAGAGACTTACATAGTTAAATTTGTATTTTATAGACATTTATTAAAGTATTTAGAATAACAAGTATAAATAAAAATTGTAAGAATTTCTAGAGAATAGAAAATTTATTCACAAGTATTAAAAACATCATTTTCCATTAAATTAATTAAATATAGTTGTGCCAGCATAAAATAAAAGGAAAAATAATATGGAAAAGAGTTTTTTTCTCCCCAAACAAGAACTTTATCCAAAGGCTATGTATTAGGCTCACTAAAACACTGAAAAGAGCAAACAGAGAGATTACCATCAGAGAAACATCCCCCAATATTGGAAGGTTCTGCCACATTGAAACAGAATATTAAGTAACAAGAAAAGCAGGTAAAAGATATTTAAATCTAGATACATCATTACAAAATATTTAAAATACAAGGTCAACAACAATAGCAGAAAAACAGATAAAGTTAGACTCAAGGAATTTCTTAATTTTCTTGGAGAAAATTTTGAAATGGTTATGTGGAAATTATGAACTTATCATAAGAAAGAACTTTTAGCAACAGTTAAATGAGTTACCCAGTTTTCTAAGTCATTGTTATTAATATTCTGCAACTGAATGCCTTTGGATCACATTGGGCTATGTGTCTATTCGCTTCTTCACAATCTGCCTTAGCCACAATCTGGTTTCCAAACAGAACATTGCTGCTTGTTCACCAACTAGCTGCTTCCCTCTGGAGTTGGCATTTATATAGGGTTATTCAGCAAGATCCTGGCTCATCTCACGGTCTTTGGCTCAATTTCACACACTGACCTTCCCTACTGTGGATCACTTCGGAGAGCACATGGCCCCTCATATCTTGCCAGCCCAGTAGCTAGCCAGAAAATCCTCTACAACTGAAGAATGAAAAAATCTTATGTGCTTTACTTGTAATGTCTATCCTCATTTTAGTATTTGTTGGATAGTTGTGATTTTTTTTTGGTTGAGTAACAAGCTATTATTTTGATTTTAGTTTATTCCTCTAGTTATGGAAGTGATATGTAATTTCTTCTTGTAGTATTTCTGTCATTTTTTTCTTTAAGTCATTCAAAATTTGCTCACTATAAAGTATATTTAGGAGCCATCTGTAGTTAACATTCACAGCCCATTTATGTCCTGATCAGCAAAACATATTTGGTAGACATACATTGAATGAAGATGGATTCACAAGTGACACTAAGGGAAAACCTCAAAATGTAAGATTTGCTGCCTGTCACATAGGCAAAAATTACTGCCACATTGTAAATTAGGTACGGATGCTAAAGAAGTTTCCAACTCTCAGAAATGTTCTTTACTAGGATGGTTATTAGCAGATTTCTATATTCTGTCCAAAGCTGGATGTCATAGTGTACAACTATATTTCCAGCACTTGAGAGGCTGTGGCAAAGGGATAATGAGTTTGAAACCAGCTTCAGCTACATAGCCAGACCTTGTCCTAAAGAAAAAGAAAAAAGAAAAGGAAGAAAATGCTACATGATTTCAAAATTACAACAATACAGGAACATAGGGAAAAGCTGTCCATGAAAACCGTTGAATTCAGTTCTACTTATTACCATAGTACTCACTTCTTACAGTAGAAATGAAGTTTTATGAATATATTCAAGAAGAGTTCCTGAACGGATCTGAAAACTTAAGTCAATGTTTACCCATGGTGTTCAATAATACATTGTTTTAAACGTTAGTTGAAAACTCCTACTGGCTGTTTCTAAGTACCAAGTTAAATGGAAAGTGCCTAATGGTGTCATTAAAACCTACAACTAGCAGGCACCCTTGGATTTTCCGAGAGCCAATGACACTGGCTATCCATTGGTTGCTGAAACCCTTGGCAAGCAGCCACAGCATTTCTAAAAATAGCTGCTTTTCTGAACTGATTCATTGAATTTAAAAATAAATAAATAAAAAGCTTTATGGGAAGTAATTACAAAATCTTTACATTAATGCTAGTAATTAAATGTGACTAGGCCTATTATTAGCCTCTGTTCCTTTTTGCAATGGTGGAGTTTATGCTTGGTTAGTGTGAATTACCTTAATCAAATTAATGGACAAATTACAAGAGTATTCTATTTGAGGGGCCTGGAATTTTTTTTTTTTACGTGGAGTGGCAGGGAGTGATGATCTCATGATGAAAATAATAAAGTTCACAAACACTAAAATGTTCAGTTCTTGTAATGGTAGTAGTATCAGAAAAAATCCAGAGACTACCTAAAATAGGTTTTCCTTCCTAAATTGCCTCTATCTTAACTTTGAAAATAGTGTGGTAGAGAAACTGGGTGAAAATGTCTATATGTTGTATGGATTTTTTAAACTAATTCTAGCATAAATAAAAACAATCTTCTGGGTATTTTAATACTTCAGAATCAGATGGTTAAAGAGAATATTTATAATCCTTTTTAATTTTTTTTCAATTCTCTACTCAAGAGTTGTATAGTTCAGTGAGCTCCACTGCTTCATTTTTTCCCGTTTAATATAGTTGCATATCTGATTGATACTTAAAATTATAGTTTTATGATGTATGAATTCAGTACAGAAGGACAAGAAAAATGCATTTAATATATTTAGTCCTGTCTTCACATTTTTTAAATTAGAGGGTTTGCAAGTTTAGTTTCATAAGGAGACAAAAGGTAAAAGGTTAATAATCACAGTGAATGTATGTTATTTCCCTCTTAGCACATATCCTTACTCAGTATTCTTTATGATTTCCTCATAATTTCTTGGGACTATTGTAAAAAAATGACCTTCTTTATAACAAATTAAGCAAGTATCCTTGATTCTTTCTCTTCTGTCATGTATTGGAGACTTAATTTCCAGCTGGGGGCACTATTAAGAGGCAAATGTTTCACATGAGTGCTAATATTAGCAATTGATTTAATAGTTGATGAGCTGATAGTTCTATGGGCTACTTTGAGAAAGAAGGTCAGGTCACTGGAAGACTGTTTTTGATAGTTGTGTCTTTGAATCTTTTCTTACTATCTCTTTTTGCTTCAGGTTATTACACTTTTTTATTGCCATCAGGTTATTACACTTATTAGTTGCCTCTGCCTAATAGAAGAAGAAAATAGACTGCAACTCCTGACACCAAGTATGCATCAAAACAAATCTTTCCTTCCTTAACTCCTGTATTTCAGGTTAGGTAGACACAGTGTGAAAACTGTGACGTATACAATGTCAGTCACCATGACCCATTCGGTGGCCACAGTAATTTCTCTTGAGAGGAAAATCTGTTTAATTTTAGCAAATGTAGTAGAAGCCAAGAATTTTTATTCAAACTTCTAGGATGAGTGCCAGCACCATCCAGGATAATATCTTGGAAGAATGAAATAGAATCATTTTGTTATGATATGAAAGTTGAGGAAGAACTGCTACAAGGAGAGAACAGACTCTTTAAGAAGTCCCAAGTAAAAGTAGTTAACAAAATCACTTCTCTTTAGAAATGTGTACTTTTATTTAAATCATTTTGAGCTTATTTGTGTTCATCTAACCAAGATACTTGGCTACTAGAGTAATAGAAGAAAGAAGTTAATAAAGAAATGAAGAAATGGTGTACTTGTTAAGTGAGAAAAGCAGTTTATATCAAAAAAGAAGTGGAATTCCAGAGGCTCACATCTGAAATCCTAACTCCTCTAGAAGCTGAGAACAGGACTGAATGTGGAGCCAGCCAGTTTAACTAAAGCCTTCAAAGATGTACTTCCAAATAGTAAGCCCATAAAGGTAGACTTAATCTTTACCTACTTCAAAATTCTGTGAGATTAGCATCCTACAACAGCAACAACACAACAATATACTCTAAGTAGTATGAATATCAAAATGTCTTAAATCACTTCATAGGATGCATTGTTCAAGCATCAGCACCATATTCAGACTAAACATTGTGTGCATACATTTGAAGATATGATTTAGCATGAGACATAACTTGATTAATTAAGATAAATAATTCTGTGATATAGAGATGGAAGTGGTTACATTACAATAAAGACAAAAGCTAAATTTTAACAAATGAAAAGTATTAGGCCAAGGATGTTACTGGGTTATCAAAATTAATTGTGCAATTAATATTTGAACAATTTCATCTCAAAAATCTTTAAATATTGTACATGTAATCAAATCAATACAACTAAGGTTTCACATCACTGTTATTCTAGGCCTCTTAGTAGTTGTTGAATATTGTGTACCTCCCAGAATTCCCATTGTAAACCAAACAGATTTTATCAGGGAAAATGTCTGGTACTGTTTAAAGAGAGAAACAAAATACTCATGAAAATAAATACTTAGAAAATAGCATTTCTTTTTCTTTATCTTTCAATAAGAGATTAATATTTATTGTAGTTCCTTTCCAAAGATGTGATAGAGATATGAATGACATCACCAAAGTAACCAATCTTCTTTATCAAAGTAGCATAATTGTTCTAATGGTATTTTTTAGGAAAAAAATAATGTATTATCTTTAAAACAACACATTTTAATGAAGACCTGGACAAGTTAGAGGTTAGGGAGATAGAGTTTGAGGAGATAGAAAGGCATTTCTTAGTAAAGTAATGCACATTATAATCTTCACATATTACTGCTAACTTGGACCTACTGACTGATGTTTATTTGCCTTGTTTTTCTGTATTACAAATGATGTTTCTTGTAGTCCAAATTTTTAGTGTGGAGTGGAATATATGCATCATGGATAATACATATGGAATGTCATATTGTATTTTGCCAAATCATCCTTAAAGCGCTTCTCCTTTCAAATGAGATGGTTGATTACTATGGACTCACTTCCCTGTAGGTACTTGCAGTCATCATGCTTTAATTGTTTACTAATTTAATGGATGAAATCAGTATCCCATTGATGTCTTAATTAGCAATTCTATGGCAACTTGCAAGGTTAAAACTGCTTCATAAGTGTATTAAGTGATTGGAATTTCCTTTTCTATGAATTTCCTGTTCATTATTTTTAGCTCAGAAATGCTTTCATAGATATTTGTAATCATTGCTAGAGCATTAGCAATTAGTAATGATTTCCAATTTCCTTGATGTTTTCACACTGTCAATCCCTCCACTGTATCACGTGCCAAAACAATCTAGAATTTTAAATGTGTTTAATAAATAGCTACCATAAAGTGATGTTAAAACTTAATTTTAAAAAGCCCTTAAGTAGTTTCATGGTGCTACTATATATAGTGTAGAAATTCTTTGAAGAAGGAATTATAGGAAGAGATTAGTAATCTGTTCATTTTGCCTCTTAAATTATCTACTTTATATTCAGAAACACACACACACACACACACACACACACACACAAATTGTGAATATGCCTAAATCCAAATAGATATTGATGTTTTTTTCCAGAAAATAGAAATCTGTTATTTAAATATCCTCACCCAACAACCAAAACAGTCTTATTTCTTCACTGGTACAGCAGCATAGACTATCTTCAGAGGACTAGATAGAAGCTATCATAGCATATATCACCTTAATTCAGATTTAAACAAGTAGCTTAACATTTTATGGTTTCATTGATTTTGTTAACAACATGGGAAAATATTGACTCATGTTGTGTTTGTTGTTTTAAATTACTTATTAAGAATTCAGGGCAATTAAGAATCACAGAAACAATATGAAAGCAAATATTTCCCTCATTAGATTGAAAAGATTTGGAGATAAATACAAGGAAATATACCCTAAGGAAAATACAAAGATAAAGATAGTTTCTTCCTTACCTTTATTTGCTCTCAAAGTTCTTGTAAAAAGTTTATCATTTTTTGGGCTGGGAAGGTGGCTCAGTGGTAGAGCTCTTGCCTTGCATGCATGAGGCCCTGGGTTCGATTCCTCAGCACCACATAAGCAAAAAGAAAAAAGCCGGAAGTGGCGCTGTGGCTCAAGTGGTAGAGCGCTAGCCTTGAGCTGAAGAGCTGAGGGACAGCGCCCAGGCCCAGAGTTCAGGCCTCACAACCGGACCCAAAAAAAAAAAAGTTTATCATTTTTTAAAGAAAATCATACAAGTTATTTTCAATGTAGATTTGGGATACATATCTAGTTCAGGTCAAATTAACATTTCCTTTAAGACATTTTATCTTTGAATTTTCTTATAATTATCAAACAAAATTAATTAGAGCTAATAGAAACTTTTAATCAATTTTATGTTATCTTCACTTCCATCTTATATGTATGTAGATGTATGTGTATATTTTTTAAAAAAAATTGATGTAAGATGATGGACAGAGTGGTTATAGTTACATAAGCCAGGCAATAAGTGCATTTTCTTTTCAACAGTGTCTCTTACTCTGATATTTCTCCCAGTTTTGCCCCTCCCATCTCTACCCTCCCTAAAGTTGTATAATACATTTCCAACATAATGTCTAGTGAATATCACTGCTGCGTTGTTTACCTTTTATCTGACCATTTCTGTGCTTCTTTTTTCCCT